TATAAATGAAATATGTTTCTTAATGCAAGAGAATATATTATACCACTTGAAAGCAGGCTTTCTGCCAGTCGGCGGATGCCCTGGGAGTCATCGCCACAAATGTCTTATCAGTCTTCACGCTCGAGTAGTGTTCGCTCAATGATTGCTGGGTCTATCCGCTTTGTGCATCGCACATTGAGAGACCGCCGATCCGTGATGCTTATTGGGTTTCTGGTTCTTATTATTGTATACAAATACAGGAAAATAGGTAATACATCAGATATGTCTGTTCATGTGTTGCATCTGTACGTGTTTTTCACCACGGTTTATATAGAGACAATACGTATTGCTTCATATAGTATTGAAAGTAGCAGAGTACCATATGCACCTGTGTTACATATGCAGAGTTTGTTATGATCCTGCATCTTTGATTATGGTAGCCCGTATCAGGTATATTCGAGTGTATATCGTACTTATTCTCTTGCACGGACTTACCTGACTCATGACGAGCTCATGACGAGGAGTAGTCATGGTGGATTCCATTGTCAGTTCATTTGATGCCTCAGAGCCTCGAGACCACATGCATCGCATGATCTTATTCGCAAAAATAATCTTGCAACAATGTTTCCGCGTGTGAGGGCTGTGTATATTATCATGCTTCCATTCTGTAAATGGCGGTAAAATGGTTTCCTGTCCAAGGACATTTGAGATCATTGGTGTTTCCATCACTTATCAAGCCCGAAGTGAACGGCTCGTGGCCACACTTCTCAGAGTTTGCTATGTTTGTGTGCACCTAATCAGAAACAATCAGGATGAGAGAGAGACTACCGTTAGCGCCTTGGTCGCCAGCCCTGTCTGCGGCTGAACGAGAGGGTCTGAAGAATCCACCGCCACTGCCGTGCCACCCGGTCGCCCCAGAACACCAACTGCAGAAGAGGAAGGTACTATGCCACAAGGGATATCGCGGATGTCGTGTTAGTATGTTGCGTAATGTATGACTGCCTGGTCTAGGACGTATGGTTGGTATCTGGGCTCTCCCAGGTGCATGTCTTCAGTAGAAGTCATTCGACAAGGTTTGGCCCTCGTAGCATGATGTCGTATTCCGTTGTGCAGCCATGAGCTGAGTTTATAAATGTAATGTGGACTTCGTCGATATCACATTGTATTCCACGTCTGGTGATGTTTGCGTGACCAATGCTCTGGAGTTACCGTTAAGCCGTGACTAGCTTGCAGTATTCAATGATAGGACAAGCTATTAAACAGGAATATGCCCAAGTACAAACGCTGCACAGGGCGATTGCTTCATTATCTCAGGAATAGGCAGATTGTGGTGATTTGCATGAAATGTGTCACTTGCACTTGGTGGCGTGCATTATGATACCTGGCCTACGACGCTGCAGGCATCATTGGATACACAACCAATTCCGTTGTTTGCGGATTTATCTGTGATACATGTTGATTTATTGTGTTATTTTATGCAAACACAAATGCACAAAAAAGCATCTGGAGGACTAAGACTGACGAAACAATCATTCGCCGTGGCTTCGCATCGCTCACAGTTCGACAGAAACGGACAGACACTCGAGAATCTCCTCAAACAGAGGGCTATAGACAATATGATCATTGTCACGTTTGCATCGGAAAACCAGAGGATATTGTTGAGAAATTTCGGATGCTCGCTTAAGGTATGATGGTTATATCACAGTGAAAATGCCGGAGATATGATATCATGTAAAGGTTCTTGACATTAGTAGTCCTCAAGTACGTTTCCCAGAGGAGCAAACGGAACGTATCCAGTCTTACTGTGGATTGTAATGGGTGCATATGTCGAGATTACATACCGCGTATCATACAACTGTGTCCAAGGTGGCAACTGCAAGACGCGAAAGAATACATTACTGAGCCATACTTGCCACATGAAACTGTCTAGGCCAGGTGGACTGCTTTTGGGTTCTGACCTCCCCATCACAATGCACCTCCCCTACCTATTCGTTAAACTATCATCACCAGACGATACTAAATATCTCAGGGCACACTTTTGCATACTTGGAGAAAACGTTTAATACTTGCGATTACATCGCATTGTCTGTCATCTTGTTCTGCAGAGACACCACAGTAATTGGATAGTCATTGCGTACGACAAAATCACAGCGGATGATGTGGCTAAAACATTCGGTAGTAAGAGCCCGCACTCGTACTATGACACTACGCTGCTGGGCGATAATATGACCTCAAACTTTGCCCTGGACGATGATAATAAGGAGCTCGTGTGGCGGAACCTGATGCATATCAAGGTGTGCATGACATGCATGGACTGCATGATAATTCGTGTGTGTGACTCGATGGTTGTACATATGCACACATAAGCTTGGAACATAAACAAACACGATTCATGTCAACCTGTGCAATATAGTTTGTTGCTCATGCCGGCACTCTGTGGTCTTTGTAGTTGGATTGGCTTGGTTGTTCCCCGGAGTGTACCAGCTACGCGTGCGGTTGTGCTGTAAGCAGACAATTCACGTTCAGCAATCTCACCCCGCGTGCACTGGTCGCTGTTGCTGGTTAATGCACACGCCCACTCGGAGACGACATGAGTGAGACACAGACTCTGGCAGATACAACCCACATAAGTGGTGGGCCAACATTCGGCGCTTCTCCGCGTGCGTAACACGCCATGCGGTTTTTTAAACACTGCAGTATGATTCCGAGGTCCGAAAACACGATTGTGAATGTGTCCCAGTCGTCGTCCGGAACTGCTCCTATCGAATTTTGTCTTGAAATCGGATATTGTATTGACCTGAATTTCACTACGACATCCGTTTTTGTTTTGGAATTCAGCTCAGCACAGTGCGTGCAATTCTTGATCTGGGGTATGAAGTTATGGTGGCCGACGCGGATACGGCCGTACTACGGAGCATCACACAGAGTGTTCAACTGAAAAACCAATGCGACATGCAATTCCAGCCCGATCCAAAGGTACTTCTAGATAGTTTTCTTTAATGCACAAGCACGCACACCATTTTTTGAGGTGCAAGGGGATTAGTTGCACACAACACATGTTTGTAAGTCCTGCGAGTGTAGGTACGGGCGAATGGCCACAGGACTCAAAAGAAAGCGCCTACCAAGTGGCGCACACAATGCATGTTCTATATGACAGAGCGGCTTAACTTTCCTGAGATTGATTGTCCTCGCCAGTAAGCAGAGGTCAACAATCCATTGCATGATACTTCTTATCAATCGAAGAAGGCGTGGGCGCCAGACTACTAAATGTTAAAAGTAATAGTAGCAAGTCGCGTTTGTGTCCAAGCCGTACTTATTTCGTAGGGGCTGTATGCTTCACATTGGGACTTGTGGTCTCAGATCCCCATTCCGCGTCTGTGCGACTGTGCGATGCCTGTTTGTGGACGTATGACCTGCGGCTCGCACCCGATATGAGGCCCAAACACTCAAGCTCACGTGATGCAAACAACACGATCTCACCACGAATGCACCACACATGCTTTGCCTTATAGGACGTCTTCGACTACGAACAGTTCCGAGGGGAACACAACAGCTTTAACTGTGGTGTGTACTTTGTCAAACCATCTGCCCCTGTGCTGCGATTGTACGATGCGTGGCTTGCGGCGTTCAACTGTGAAGAGGGGGCGCGAGAGCAGCAGGCACTCCGAACGGCTCTCAAGCGCCTGGTGGAGTACAAAGACTACCACGTTTTCGATCCCAGAACAAATACACCTTTCTATTACCCGTCTGATTTGGATGGGTCTTCATTAGGTACGTCGATGCAGACACTTAATGTAACAAGAAGTGACTGATGATGTAGATATGTATGCGTATGTGGCGGACTAAGTCTACACGGTTTGGCAATAGAAGGAGATGCATAGTGTAAACTGCAAAGATACACACACACACACACACACATATATATATGTATATGTATATATATATGTATGAGC